ATATCGGTATAAGGCAAATGTTTCATGTTCTCCTGTACCGTTTCAGTTAACCTCGCGTTCTCTCTATCTCCCCCGTCTCGTCTAAATTTTTCATCGCGAAATGTCTGCTAACGTCGAATCTAACGCCGATGTAGGTGATGCGCAGAAGACAGCCGCTTCCAAAAAATCTGCCGCCGGTGGCAAGAAAAAGTCAGCGGCCGCCGCAAGTACAAAAAAAGTCGTAGAACATCCGTCCTACAACGAAATGGTTCGCCAGGCTCTCGTCGCTCTCAAAGAACGCGGCGGATCGTCCAGGCAGGCCATACTCAAGTACCTCATGGCAAACTTCAAGGTCGGAAGCGACGAACACTCCGTCAACACCCACCTCAAAGTAGCCCTGAGGAATGGCGTCAAGTCGGAAACGCTAAAGCAGTCGAAAGGATCTGGAGCCTCAGGCAGTTTCCGCCTCGGTGCCGCCAAAGATACCAACAAAACTGTCGCCAAGCCGAAAAAAGACGTTGTCGCCATAAAAACCAAAGCGGCTGCCTCGCCAAAAAAAGTTACAAAAGTGGCGGAAGCGACAAACAAACGTCAAAAGTCTGTTGCAAAAAAGGCGGCTCCGGCTAAAAAGGCAACGGCATCTAGCAGCACAAAGAAGCCAGTCGAAAAGACTTCCAGTGTCAAGAAAGCCGTAAAGAAACCGCCTGCGGCCGCCAAAAAGATCGCTTCTCCAAAGAAACCGGCTAAAATAGTTAAAAAACAGCAGGCCAAGGAATCTAGAAAACCAAAATCGGCCACCACCAAAAAACAGGCAAAGCCCACCGCCGCGGCCAACAAAAAGAAGACTAGCGGCAGCAAGAAAACTTCAGTTTGATGACGAGAACAAATTTAAAAAAATTAACAAACGGCTCTTCTCAGAGCCATCAATGAAACGATGATATCGAGCCTCTCTTTCTTCAAAGCTCTCTTGTTTTTTATTATTACTCCGTTGTCTTTTTTTATTCACGTTCCGCTCGTTTACCTAAAAATGGGGAGCATAAGAGAGTAAATTTGTAAAATATGTAATTTCATACGCACGGTTTACGCGGTTAGCATGAGAAACTGATTATGAAAAATTTCATTTTTGTCAGGAAAGTATGTAGACTGAAGAGAACTGTTGCAACATTTCTGCCTAAGCTATTAGGCTTTTATGCGATTGCTATTTTTTCACTAAAATCAAATTTTCTGGTGCAAAATGCAAATTGTAATAATTAATAATACTTTGTCGATAACCGGCTACAATAGTTAAAAAATCTAAAGGCCAAGGAATCTAAAAAACCGAAA